TCAGCTTTTCAGGGCAAACATTTGGAAATCGCAGCCGTGTCTTCAAAGGTTGTTCTGTCTGATGGAGGGAGTGTCTGTGCTCACCTGCATTTCAGCGGGGGTCACAGCGCCCGCTAGAGGTCCACACAGGCAGAACCAGGCCACTTTCTTCATAGATCAGGTGGCGGGCGTGTTAACTGTAGATATCATAGTCGCATTGTTTGGTGGCGAGGGGCCGTGGCACTCCGCCAGAGTTTAAAGTAACACGAAAAGCACAGAAGCTGGTGTTTAACAAATGTTAGCGTGGAATAATACCATCTCTCATCATGTGACTACATGGAATCAGAAGTGGGGCGTCCCTGGCCACGAGACTTCTCAGTCGCTGAAGACTCCTACGACCAGAGGCACTGATCTAAAAAGGGAAACGTGGCAGAGAACTGAAGGAAGTTGGAACGTGAACAGCAAATGTTGATTGGCGCTGCACAGAGCAAGATGTCTGCCAGGAGCAGAGCCTGCATCCTTTGCTTGGCTGTATGATCCCTGAGCTTCGGTTTTCTGTCTGGGACCCTGAGGCCAGAGAACGACAGCAGTCCTTTACATCCCGAGATAAAGCGAGGCCATACCCTCGTTACGCCGGCAGAATCCCGGCAGGGATGTCAGCTGTACGCAAATTCAGAGCAATATGCAACCCTGAACCCCACGTGACAAGAGAGGACAAACATGTGACTTTGGTTCATTGCAGGATGAACTGGTGCCAGATGAGACAGACTGGTTATGGAGCTCCATCAGAACCACCGGTCAGTGGCAACGCTGCGTGTGACGGTTCCACGGTGACGGTTTGACGCCGCGGGCGGCGGTTCGGCGCCGCGGCTAAAACTGAGCGCCTCATGATGAGCAGTTGGATCCTGCTGCCCTAACCTGATGTTTTACTGAAAACTATAAAACCAATTCCAGTGTTTTCATCTAAACGTTTCCTCCTCTGCTTGAGAGATGATGGAAATGCTGACTTCAGGTCAACATGGCCGACGAGGCTTTAGACGATTGTTCCTGATCGACAGAGTCGGATGACAGAAAAGAAGAGTTTATCAAAGGAAGGGATGATGTGAGTACGCTGACCATTTTAATGATTTATTAACAACTATATAAAACAGCCCATAAAAAGCCATGCACTTTCAGTGTAAATTCCTTTGGAAATATAGAAGAAACGTAGTTTATCAACAGTGACTTCCTTCAGTTGGTGGCTGGCTGCATAGACACCTCCACATTATTGCCTACGATTAAAAAGCCCATCCGGCTAAACAACAACGTCTGATTCACCTTTATTTCACCACTAGAGGTTTGCAGTAGTGAAAAACATGAAGCTTTCATTAAAAATACATTCTGAGATTAATTCATGAGACAAAAGGAAACGATGCCTGAGTTCAGAGTGGAGTCATCATAAGAAGCCTGAGGAAACGGTCCACTGATTCACTATTTTACACAACATAAAAAAATAATATGTACAAAAGCATTATTTGAAGTAAAAAAATCCAGGTTCCATTTTCTATTTATCTTATCAAACAATTTACAAAACTGCTGGTGGGAAACAGAAAGGTTGGATATGAGGTACTGCAGGAGAGCCTGAGTCCAGACCGGCTTAACCAGACCGTCACAGTAAGCCTGAACACAGAGCAGCACTAAGGGGAGATCCAGTGTGGGACCCGGAGGCGGCGCCACGGCTCGGCCGGTCCCGTCCGCCCGCCCGCCGCCAACGCACCCGGAGTTCATGGCGGCGGCCCTGGCAGCTGAGGCTGATGGGAGGAGCGGAGCAGCTCCTGCTATGTCTTCCTGCTGCTCCACATCTGCTCCGGCGTGCTCTTATGGTCAGAGGAGTAGTCGAAGGGAGAGTCACAGGGAGAGCGTTCGTCTCGAGGAGAGCGAACGGCGGCGGCGCCTCGCTGATCGCTCAGCCAGTCTGAGTGGTAGTGGTAGGCAGAGCGATAGTCTTCCTTCCCGTCCGGCCGGTGTTCCCTGCTGCTCCGCTGCTCTTCCAGCTTCCTGTGTTTACCGTCGTATCTGAAACGGCAGAGCGTCGGCTTGTTAACCAGGAAGTGATGTCATCCTGTGATGGCAGCAGCCTGTCAATCCCCACCTGTCGCCTCTGTAGTGGTCTCGGTGGTCCTTCCCGTTGCTGAAGGAGGAGTAGGCTCTCTTCCTGGATTCTCCGCCGCCCTTCCTGTGGGACTCTCTGCCGCCGTCATGGTGGTGGTGATGGTGGCGTCCGGACGGCGGATGGCGCTCAGAGCTGTAGCTGTCTCTGCTGCTGTCGTCCTGGTGGACGCTGTCCTTCAGCCGTTCAACATCTGAGCCAGAGAACAACCAGGGTCAGCAGGTGGCCGGCCTTGTAGCTCCGCCCCCTCCACAGACTCACACTTACCTGCATGCTTGTAGCTTTGAGCGCTTCTAGTGTTCTGCTCCACGGCCTGAAGAAAGAAACAGATTACAGGAAGTGGACAACCTAACCTCCATCCAGCAAACCTTCAGCCTTAACAGGACAGGACCCACGGTCGCCGGGGCAACCGAGGCTAAAGGCAAGGACAGCGTCTCCTGGACGTACCTGGACGTTCTCGTGTCTCTTCTTGATGGCGTGTTTGTAGAGTTTGTGGAGTTTTCTTGCGTCAAACTCTGTGAACTTGGAGACAAAGATCCAGAGGTTCCTGCAGAACAAAGCTGAGCTTAGAATCCAGAACCAGGATGGAAACCAACCAAACCAGTCAAACCTACTTTCTCCACTGCTTGATGTGGTCGGGGTGAGAGTACTCCTTCAGACATTGGGTGATGTGGTCTCCAATCTTTATCAGGCACTGCCTGGTGTGCTCCAGCTGCTCGCGCTCCGACAGGCCTTTCTCCGGTCGGTCCAGCTGCTTCAAGGCCGCTTTTACCGGCCGCATCCTCTCCTTACACTGGAACACACACAGAGGCCGCAGCTGCTGTTAGAGGCTGTTAGCCACGGCGTCTGCTAG